GGGCCAGTCCAGGAGATTTTATTCCTTTCCTGTTAGTGTCCAATTTCTCCTCTTCCTAGATAACCAATATAATCTATATCATAAAATCGTTCTGCCCTCTGTAACTGGCTTTTTACCTTCTCTCTAGGCAGGGCTGAATTTATCCTGCCAGCTGATGATGTCCACTGGAAGGGAAGTATTCTTTGTGGCATAGAAGCATTGGGAATAAAAACAGCAGTGTAATCTGGTCATGTATGGCCAGGTAAACTCATTGATCCAAAGGTCAGACTATCAACTTTATTTGAAAGACAAGTAGGCTAACTGGGACAAAGATTCGTCTTCTAGGAGCCCCGGTAAAGAGGACACTGGATCCACGTGTTCAGTCATGCCTCTCTTTGTATGATTACAGTATTCGGAAGTACTTCACCAGGAATGCTGATGTACACAGTCTTTAAAGCTAATAATATGGAACCTTAGTTGAGCTAATTTTTCCCTGCTCTCTAAAATTGACTTGATTTTCATCTGTTCTAGCTTTCAGGCCACTTCTACCTTCTGTTTCCCCAACTTCTATTCTTACCAGTTGAGAAGAGGCTATGGGCTTGAAAGTCTAAAAGGGTCAGAATGTCTGAATTCTTTTCCCATTTTACCAATTACTTTAGGTGTTATGTTCTAGTTTTCCACAACTAAAATAGGAAAATTCTCCCAGGAATATGGTTAAAATAACATCTGTGAAACAATTTGAGAGTTTTAGAATCTTTAAATTAAAAGAAATCTTAGAAGTCATTTAATCTAGTATTTCCCAACTAGAGGAGCAATATTTTTTCCAATTTCTTTTATCCCCAATCCTCTTCCTGAATAGCCTTTCTCTACCTCCTTCCTTGCATCTGCCTGGTATCCAAGACAGGAAATTGATCTAGTTTGCACAATATGTTTAATGTACGAGTATTTAGGGTTGGGAAACACTGCCCTAATTCACCTCCCTATTTCATGCAATAGTCATTCCAACAGTCATGACAAGTTGATATCTAGCTTTTACTTAAATATCTAGTGTTGGGAAATTTGCCACCTCAGAGTCAAACCATTCCAGTTTTGGACAGCCGTAGTTTGGTGGAGAGTTTTTCATTATGTTGAATTGAAATCTGCCTCACTGTATCTTCCACCCATTGATCCCAGCTCTATCCTTTGAAACCACAGGGAATTCATCTAATCCTCTTATAAAGGAGAGAAGGGAATACCCAGGGTTGTTATTGTTAACTTGTCACAGTGGTTCAGACCTGGCCTGAGTGATTGTATTATGGATGTCCTGTGCTTTGTACACTAGCTGTGTTCCTAAAACATCGTATAAACCGAGTTTTGTGTGAATCGAATCATTTTAGACATACTGGAAAGTTGACAGTTTAAAAGAAACCCTGTTCTCAGTTCTTTCATAAACTGAAGAACCTTTTTGTAATACAAATAACCTCCCCCATTAACCATTTATACAAATCTGTGTTTTCATGCATTATTACAGGCTTCACTTTAGTGTACTTCAGGGATGTTGCTTTTTTTTTTTACAAATTGAAGGCAAGACCCTTCCCCACCAAAACGATTACGGCTCAGGGCTGGCCGAGTGGCTCATTTGGTTAAGAGTTGGCTTGCGAATGCGAGTGCTGAGCAGCAGGGCTGCTGGTTCGGTTCCCATATGGGGCAGTGATGCTGTGCCCTCTACAGCTAAGGTGGTGAACAACAGCTCAACCTGGAGCTGGGCTGCTTTGAGTGGCCTGCGATGGTGTAAGCTGCAGTGGGGCTGCAGTGGGCTGCCATGAGCTACCGTGAGTGGGCGGCAGCCTGCATGAGCGGCCAGCAGCCAGCAAGAGCTGCCATCAAATGGCTGGCGACCGACTGCCTCAGCCGGGAAGAGAGCAAAGATCATAATACCAACATGGGTCAGTGAAGTGATGTCCTCCACAACTAGACTGAAGAACAAAAGGACAGCAACTTGTCTTTTCCCCTTCCCCGATTTCCCAACACTATTCCCCTCCCCCAATTCCCCAATAAAATCTTTAAAAAATAAAAAAGATTACAGCTCACTTTATTGTGATACTCACATTATTGTGGTGGTCTGGAACCGAACCTGGAATGTCTCTGAGGTAGGCCTTTATGTTTTACTTAAGGCAAGATTTACCTGCATACAAAACAAATAAAATAATAGCAATAGCTGACATTTATTGAACGCTTATCAGGCACCAGCCATCATGAACCTGACATGCATTAGTTAATTTCTCACCACAACTTAATTTTTTTAAAGTATCCCCTATTAATAAAACAATTATCCCCTATTTATAGAAAAGAAAACCAAGTCTCAGATAAATGAAATAACTTGTTCAAGGTCACACAATTTGAACATGATGGGCCAGAATTCCAACAAGGCCATAAGACTCAAGGGTCTTATATCCTAACAACCAGGAAGTTTCAGATGTTAATAGTAGTTAAACAATAGTAGTACCACAGCACAGGTAAATTAGGCTACAATACAAGAAACTGACCTAAACTTCCATAACTTCAAAGATGTACGCAAGGGTGGCCACTGAAAACGGCAACTAGACTTGGAGCTGAGCTGCGCCCTCTACAACTAGATTGAAACAACGACTTGACTTGGAGCTGATGAGTCCTGGAACAACACACTGTTCCCCAATAAAAATAAATACATAAATAAAAAGATGTACACAAAATCTATTCTTTTGGCATTGTAGGCTTCCTAGCACAGCTCACATTTTCCAGTGCAATTTGATCAAGGAACCCCAAAAACTTCCCTTCAGCTATTAGTAGTAGGCAGATGCTGCCCAAATTTATTTCAGGTATACGGGGATGATCAGACACTTTTTCAAGGGGTGTGGGGGGTGTCTCTATATTCCCAGGGGTTTGTGGCATAACCTTCTTAGAAGAAAGAACTGGTTCATTATTGACAGGTTAAAATCAAAAGTACAGAGAATCGTGGGTGATCCCCACCTGCTCTTAGATGGGTTAGAATCATTCAAACAGATTTTTAGGTCCAGTTTTTAATGGCGTTGAGGCTTGGAACTTAAAAATAGTTTGGGATGGATGGTCTGTAAATAAGTGCTGTTTTGAATCCAACTTGACAAAGACAAATAGATGAAATACTTCTATGTCCTCAAAGCAGTTCCATTTTCTCCAGTTTCATCAACAACAGGGTGCACTCACAACATTGCACAGCTCAGCACACATCCCTCGGGGCTCCTAGAACCCTAGACTTCTCTACACTGGGTAAGGGAGCTCCAGGTAGGGCTCCGTCTTCCAGGCCCCACCTCCCTCCACCCCATTATCAGAATGCCCCATTTGACTTGGCTTTTTTACATACAGTCTCAATCATAGACTCAGGTGAAAAAATATGTAATTTTTTTATTTCTCAACCTAGCTCTTCAGCCTCCATTTCTACCAATGGCAGAAATATAACAAATGTCATCAACTCAACACAATTCAATCATTTCAAGTGTTGTAGACAGTCAAGAGATTCTCCTCCCTGTCCCCTTGCCCCATGATGTTCTAGTTTGGGGGTTATGCATCATTCTGACATCAGGGAAGGGGCATCAAAGTCAAGTGCCATCTTCTGTCTCTTGCCTGATAAAGCGTAGCTTCCTTCACTTGGTCTTGGCCACCGGGCTTTATGGCCACTGCATCTGCGGCAGGGTTCTCTGGCAGGTGGAAACTGTGGTCTTGGGATAGACCAGGGGTCAGCAAACTGCGGCTCGTGAGCCACATGCAGCTCTTTGGGTACGTACGTGTGGCTCTGAAGTAAAATTGAAAATGAAAATAAAACTAGCATAGTTTCATTTATAAAATTTTTAAAGCATGTTATTCATATAATGGTGATTATGTAAAAAAATATATTTATGGCTCTTGAATAATTTTGAAATTGTTGTGAGGGACAGGATTGGCTCTTCCAGGGGTCAGCAAACTTTTGAGACAGAATGTACCCAAAGAGCTGCATGTGGCTCACGAGTCGCAGTTTGCCGACCCTTGGTATACACAAAGCACAGTGGTTGCTTCATAGGGAGCTTAGTGGCTCCCACCTCAGCAGTTCCTGGTACTGCTGAACCTCCATTTCCTAGCTTGGCCAGGCACCCCTCAGTCCCTGCTGTGGGTTCTCACCCCCCCCACACACACACACACACGCACACAACCCACAGCAATCCCCATAGGCACCCTTTCAGTTTTCAGCTCACTCTCAGACTCCTCGTGGGTGGGACACCATGGAAATTTTCATATTTCCTCCAAACCTCAAGGAGCCAAGGAGACTCAGGCTTAAGTGGTGAGAAGGCTGGAGGTGGTGAGGAGATGGAATTTACCTGATCTGCTGTGTCTACACAGGTGATGGTGTCATTTGTACTCTGGCATTGGCCCGTTAGCACAGGGTACTTTGAAAGGCTGTGTCTTCTCAGAGTTCCAGGAATGAAATGAAACATAAGCCCCTTCTGTCCACTATTGTTTGGCGGTGGGGACAGCAAACAAAGTCCCACAGTGGCATCTAAACTCTCTTGCTCTCCTCTCCCAATCCTCTCCCGTTCTACTCCGAACCCAAAAAGGATTGTATTTCCTGTGTGGAGGAGAAACGTACACGTTCTTTCCAATACGACAGTTGATAACATAAACTCTGAGCTTTGGGTTTATCAGGTTCTGTCTCTTGGTATTTAAAAGGAAGTTTCTGCAGGAAAAAAAAAAGTCCCTCTCTCCCAGCCAGAATTCCCCACACATTCTCTCTTCCCTCTGTTTCCCACCCACTGCCCTTCTCTCCGTCTCACATGCACCATGCATCCTGCAGCAGCAGGCCTGGTAGCCACACACTCTGTGCCCCTGTAGCTAAGAACATGGCTCAAGTGTCAGACTGTCTGGGTTAAAATGCCAGCTCTACCCCTGCCTGGTTCAGTGACGCTGGGCAAGGCACTTCATTTCTCAATGACTCCATTTCCTTTTCTGTAAAATGGGGTGCATCCTTAGCTCTCAGAATTGTTACAGGATTAAATGAAATGGTAATCTGTAAAGTGCTAGAAATATAATTCTCAATTAAAGTTAGGAATGGCTATTATATTATTCCTCATTCTCTGCCTAATTAATGCTCTCATAGTTCAGACCTAGCTCAGATGATCTGACCTCCATAGCCAGGTTATGACTCTGTTATATACTCACATAGCATCCCAAACTTTTCACTCATAACACTCATTATACTTTGTGATTGTATATCTGCGCATACATACTTTGCAATTAATATTTTATTCATGTCTGTCAACCCCACCAGACTGTAAGCTTCAAGAGCACAGAAGCTGTTGTCCATTTCACTCACCATTAGATTCCCCAGGCCCAACACAGTGCCTGGCACATAAGCCAGATAGTTTTTGAATGAATATTTGATTGAATGGGAGGTGAGGAAGTGGAGGCAAGAAGTTCAAAGGACTCAAGAAGACTGTAAACATAAAGAGGAAAGGCAAACCTGAAACTATTAATAATAATGTAAATAAATAAATAAAATTTACAAAAGAGGAAGAGCAAGACTTGGAGGAGGATCCAGGTTTCTCACTTATTTTTGAAGCTGGCAGGCACTTGAGCATGTTTAAATGGTGATGGGAAGGAGCCTGCAGAGAGGGGGCTCACCAGAAGGAGTGCGAGCTGTGAGGCTGTGGGAGGGCATGGGACTTAGGGCAGATGCCAGAAGAATCAGTCTCAGATGGAGGCACCCCTCTTCCATGCTACAGGAGCAAGAGCAGAGAATTGGGCTGTGTCTGTAGGTTTGGTAGCAGGAAGTCCTTCTAAGACCTTTCCATGAGTCTCGGTAATGTAAGCAGCAAAGATGGATTCTTCAAGAAGCTCAGCATATTGGTGAACATCATTTCATTTACTTGTGCAACTTATGTAAAAAGGAAGCAGACGTTTTCTCCATCCTTGACTGTACTGACGCACTACAGAGCAAAATAACAAGTTTCCAAAGCCATTCAGTGCCAGAGCAGAGACAAGTGATTTCGGTGTTCTCTTTATGGACCCCTTTCCTCCCAAATTAGGAAACAGTATGGGAAAATGACAACGTGGTAAAATAATAATGGCTGACACTGGTTGAGTGCTTACTATGTACCGGGCACTGTTCCAGTGTTTTACCTGCAATAACTCATTTGATCCCCACATTATACTACCATTTTACAGGTGAGGAAACTGAATCCCAGGGAGGTTAAGTAACTTGCCCAAGGTCAACAGCTAGTAGGTGGCAAAACTAGGTTTTAAACCCAGGAACTCTGACTCCCAAGTGGTTGCTTTTAACCACTCTGCTAAACCCCCTCTCTAGCAGAGGGGAAAGAATATATTAGAAATCAGAAAACCTGTTGCTCTACCATGAACTAACTCTATAAACCTGGTCATTCACTTAGGTATCTGAACATCAGTTTGCTCATCAATAAAATAAGGTTGACAGTGTTTACCTTATGAGGTGTTTTTTTGTTTGTTTTGTTTAAGATATTTATTGGAAAATTGGGGAAGGGGAACATTGTGTTTTTCCAGGACCCATCAGTCCCAAGTCAAGTTGTTGCCCTTCAATCTTTGTTGTGGAGGGCGCAAGCTCAGCTCCAAGTCCAGTCGCTGCTTTCAATCTAGTTGGGGGAGTGGGGGTGTAGTCCACCATCCCATGCAGAAGTCGAACCAGCAACCTTATTGTTAGGAGCTTATGAGGGTTTTTTTTAAAAGGATTATGAAATGCTGAACCTGGGAACTGTCTATACAAAAGATAATATTATGCTGATCGGAAGACCTAATATCCTTGTCTTCTAATTGGGTCACAATCTAACAAGCTGTTGTTGAAACCCCGCCCCACTTCTCATAACCAGCAGAGCAGCAGAGGTTGGAGGTTCTGGCTCCTTTGGCAGATGAGCTGATTCTCATTCCATCAACTTTAACCTCCCTGACCAAGCCTCTCTGATGACTGAGAGCACACCTCAGTGCCTCCTTCCCACCGAACACACTCACTCTTACCTCTGGGAACAGTGACAGCTTATGCCCTCGCTTCTCTGATTTTGTGGCCTGAAGGAGTGACTGTTAAAAAAAATAAGTAATAAATAGCCTGACTACAGCTAACAGTGAGGTGCACCCCAGAAGGCCAAGTTCCACTTCGGCGGTAGAAGCACTGCTCTAGTTTAGTCGTAGAACCAGACTATCAGGGCTAGCAGAGAACTTTAAGGTCATCTTGTAGTGCAACTC